ATCGAGGCTCACAAATAGCAGTAATATGGAGCAGTTGTGTGGTGTGCGCTGGGCTCGGCCTGCTTTCATTTAGGCCCTTTATCTGCACTGAAATTGACTGCATTCAAGAGTGGAATGGATGTAATAATTGCATGCACTCTATAACATGCTCTGTAAATTTGTTTACAAAAAGGCTAGATTCAAGGTATTCCTAATGGCTCTCTGCCAAGGATGATTCTCGCCTGCTTTGGCTTTGCTTTTGAGCCACATTTAGTTCAGTGGCTTACATTTTACATTTGTGACCTGCAGTAGGAGTGAAACATGGAGGACACAATGGAGTGTGAGGAAGAGCTTACATTAGCAGCTTTGAAAGGCCACAGTAAATAGAACGATGGGGATCTGTGTTCTTGTTGCCCTCTGCCCAGTGATACGCTTGCTTAAATCATTTTGACATACAGGTATGCAACTATTTATGATCAAGATATCAATAGCTTTAGATCATACTAGAATAAGACACAGTGTGAATAAAATGGAAAATGCGTGTTGGGTTTCTGCATAATGGCTTTAGGAATTTTTAACCACAAGGCCTTTTCATTTCACTTCTACATGAGTAATTATTGCTGTTATAAGAAATAACTGTACTCTTACTTAAGTACACCTCTGGTTGTTATGTAAAACCCTGTCTTTAAGTAATTCTGCATATTTACTCTCCTTTAAAGAGCTCAAACACCCTCAGCTTCTCTATATTTCACGAGTCTTAGTCTTAGTCCAGATTAGAGCTGCACAATTTTGGGGGAAAAAAGTTACAATTAGATTTGTGATGCATATTTTGAAAATAGGATTCTGTGCACATTGTTAACAGCTCCAGGAGCATTAACATTTTAAGAGAATACGGCTCATAATACATACATAATCATCTCATGCATTTCAGAACATGTCTGTAGAGATTTTTCTATTGAAAAACTAAGAATATTTTGTTATAAGCAGAGGACATGCTATTATCTAAATAACTGCAGCTTTTGCGATTTGATAATTGGGCCAACTCAAATTTCGATTGATTGAGATATATTACTCAGTCCCAGTCCAGACATCTTTTCCAAATGTGTTCTTATCATGGCAGTGCTTAAAGTGCCTCCTCTAATCAGTGTAGTAAATGCTGCATTAACAGACCTTGTTTTTTAGCTTGTTACAAACAGCTGTCTTTTTCACTGCATTTGCAGATACAAGCCTAGCACCATCTGCTTATGCTTTTTATAACCACATGCCTAGATTGACTAACACTGGAACTTTCACCTCTATACATACAAATATGCAAATAATGAATAATAGTCCTTAAAAATAACTTGTAGTGCGCCGCCCAAGTCCACTGTGGTTATCACTGCCATCCAATAAACAGTGCAGAAGAGCTCATGAGAGCCGAGAATGGTGTGGTGGGCCAGGCACACTGTAGAGGCTGACAATGGCTGGGGAGGGGTAAGTGTTTCGGGGGAGGGATTACACTCACGGGGGGCCAATGGGTCAGTGGATAAGAAGTCTTCTCTGTTACCACAAATCCACAGATTAAACACAGCACTGAGAGCCGCGCTGCCCTGGGGCTAAGTGGGTCTGAAAACACAACTCACAGCTTAAGCTTAACCCTTGAGTCAGTGTTGTGCTGCTCCACAGTCCACTGTAAGTCCCTGAGATGAGCCAGGCCCTGAACACATCCGGGTCGTGCAAGGGTCACTGTGAGTGTTACTGACATGATATCTTAATTGGAAAGTTAATCCAGGGCCGGGACAGTCTGTTGTGCAGCGGGAAAAGCCAAAGTGACATGAAGCAAACAGACGCTGTGTTTACGGCCTCCATGTTGGCTGCTGAGGCAGTGGCCTGGGGCGCTGTGCATTAGCTTTGTGCATTAGCTTTGTGCAGTTCTGGTTTACATGAGCACTGCCACTGAGTGCTGTGTGCGCAGCCATATGCACTCCTACTGCTAGTGCCCGCAATGCAGTCTATGGACTTGTTTTTTGTTTTTTTTTACCTTATTACAATCAAATCTATGTTAATATCTGCTATGATCTATGTTCAGAAGTAATATGCAGTTTGTGGAGCATGTAATATTTGTACATTTAGGTCTAAGTTGGAAGTATATTCACAATGTGGTTGTAATGTGGTTGTCAAATGAGTGTGTATGTGGTTTTATTGAGAATTTAGAGAGGATTATCTTTTGTCATTTTCTATTGTGCATCCTGACACTGGGCCGCCCTGCTATGACAGAGCAGGTCACATGATGTTGTGGGGCTTGCGTTGCTGTTGTTTAGCGTGTTTGCACACATCTGCGTGGCTCCATGACCGTACGTGGGGGAGGGTGTGTGTGGGATGGAGCAGGAGGACTGTTGGTGACTGGCTCTTGTAGCGTCTCGTCTGCTCCACTGATCCCAGGGAATCTGGGTCACTTCCAGCCTGCTCCCTGCTGCTACTGCTGCCCCCTCCGCCTGCCGCAGCCCACAGCCATGACCACACGACATGCTAGCAGCTAGCCACCGTGCCTTATCAGTGTACAATCACAAAAGATGTGTGAGCATTATTGTCATGAACCTGTTCACACTTAGCTATTCTCCATGATGTTTTTGAGACTTTTATACCATCATTCATTTCTATACTGCTCAGGCCTTCTGCTCGACCTTGAGGGTGCCTTTCTAAGCTTAACTGAATGATTTTGGACAAATATCTTCAAGTCCTTTTCCTGACATTGCAGTTTCAATATTTATTATATTTCTGTATCAGTGTTTACATCCAAGAACAGTGACAATATAAACATATCTATTGTGATTTTTCTTTAATTTGAACACAATGGCATTTTGTTTGCTTAGTATATTTTATTGTATATTCCAACAGGTCGTAATACATATTATGAGAAGGCTGTGTGTTTTGGAGGCATATTTGTGTGGTGTGTGTGTGTGTTTGTGTGTATGTGTGTGTCAAAGGGCTCCCTGTACTGTGGCTGTGGAGATACTGGTGACAGGAGACTGACAGTGACACAGGCCTGACATCACTGGGCCCACTACTCTCAACTACAACCATCTTCGTGTTATAATAATACGAACGAGCTAATACTGCCACATTATGTCTTTAAAAGTTGCCCACACTAACACAGACAGCACGAGAATTATAGACATATTTATAAGCTTTCATAACTAACAAAAATGTTAGACCTGATCACAATAGGCCATGGTTTGTCAGCCTATTTAGGATGTAAGCTATAACAAAATATCAGAACAAAATATCAGTGAATATTGGCTTTTCTAATAAAGCACCACAGAATTGTATAACTTCATTATGGGCTATAGGGCCTCTTATGCTCACACTCAGCATAACAGATTACATAACAGTTATCTACTTTTTATAGGCTATATGCTGCCAGTTTATTTATTTTACATTTAGGTTATTAATTCTGTATCTTAAAAAAAAAAAGATTTTAATTACTAATTAAGGGGCGAGCAAAAAGTGATAAAGATGCATTTTTATTTTATTTATTTTTATTTCATACAAAGCTTGTTTCGTCTGCTAGTAAGCTAAATAAAGGCTCGTCAGTGCAGTATCAGCCTGAGTGTTAGTTCAGTCCGTTTAAAACATCCCAGTCACTCATCTTTTATTGACGCTTGCTTCCATAGTTTGGCCTTTGCTGCTGTGCGGATAAAACATTTACGCGCAGCTAAATATTTCAGAGCAGCAGCTTGTCAGCCGCTGTTCTCCCTCCTGCTGTTGGGCTATTTATTTACTTGCTGATTTAGGTCTACTGTGTGCCTGTCGCATCCAAGAGTTTTCCTGGGAAAATATCCTATAGGAATTTAGAATGTTTTAAAAGCCATGGTGAGAGAATGAACGACTTTGTGTGCGAGACATTTCATCAGCCCACATCTACACGGTGTAGCTCTATAATTCATGTATGAGGAGCCCAAGGGGGAGTCCGTTGGAGACATGCACTTTGTGGATCTGTGGAGGTGGGGGTGGATATGTGAGAATTATATCAGGCTTTTCCGTCAGAATGAACTTTCCTACTGTATGCAGCCCTGAAATAATCTGACCTGACACTTCAAACCATCTGCGCTATCTATCCTCCCTCTTATTTACTAAATCAGCTCGCGCACAAAACGGACTGTGCTTGATACTACCACGCAGGGCCACGCGCACATCACGCAAATGTGCAGGCCCGAGCGCGTTTCGTTGCTGTGTCAGAGCCGAAGAGTGTCCTCGCACTGACAGCTCTTTTACCGCTGCAGTAGAATTCTCCTGGCTCCGTGTTTGCTCTTAAAGGCTGCCGGAATCACCATGTTGTTAGATCTTAGACCTATTAATAGAGGCCATGTTGTTTAGTGCTGATGATGATGACAGTGTATACTGTTATATCGGCCTAGTGGCTTAAACCGTATTGAAACCTCTGAGTAACTTGCAGATTGATGGGTAAAAAGTGTTGCCCATAATATGTCTAAAGAGCCGTGTCGTCAGGGCTGTGCGGTCGTGCACGTGCGCGCGTGTGTTTGAAGGGCTCTAAATGTGCACTGAGCTCATCATGGTGATACTGTTCACTCTTAGCTGCAGATCGTCGCACAAAGAAACAGGACGAGGCTGAAACGACAGAAGACGTTGCTCCCACGTAAAAAGGTCAAAATGTTTAGATTATTTTTGCAAAGGGAGGCGCTAAGATCTCCTTTACGTCTGATTGGACAAACTTGACAGTGATTGACGTGCATCCATGGCAACCGCGCATCCAATCTGCCAAGTCCAATAGGAGCTCTTTGGAGGCTGACTGTCTTTTTCTCTCCTTTAAAAAATATCCCGCTTGCCTTGGCTTTAATCAGCCTCTAATCTGTGCCCACCGCGACACCTCACTCCGTCCGTCCGTTGCCTGCCGAGGACTGCTGCCCAAGGATGCGGTAAAGTCATCCTTGCACCGTGCTCTGTCTCTCGCCGCCGACTTTGCGAACGCCTTGTGTGTGGCGCTGCCGCGCGGAGCTTCAGCACGGCGGAGCTGCAGAGGAATGTTCCAGCTGCCCATGTTGAACTTCAGCCCCCAGCAGGTGGCCGGGGTGTGCGAGACCCTGGAGGAGAGCGGGGACGTGGAGCGCCTTGGTCGCTTCCTCTGGTCTCTGCCCGTAGCTCCCGCGGCCTGCGAAGTCCTCAACAAAAACGAGTCCGTCTTGCGTGCGCGCGCCGTTGTCGCCTTCCACACCGGCAACTTCCGCGAGCTCTATCACATCCTGGAGAACCACAAGTTCACCAAAGAGTCTCACAGCAAGCTACAGGCTCTGTGGCTGGAGGCGCACTATCAGGAGGCCGAGAAGCTGCGGGGCCGTCCGCTGGGGCCCGTGGACAAGTACCGCGTGCGCAAGAAGTTTCCCCTGCCGCGCACAATCTGGGATGGAGAGCAGAAAACTCACTGCTTCAAGGAGCGCACGCGACACCTGCTTCGAGAATGGTACCTCCAGGACCCCTATCCCAACCCGAGCAAAAAGAGAGAACTGGCCCAGGCCACTGGACTCACACCCACGCAAGTGGGCAACTGGTTCAAGAACAGGCGACAGAGGGACCGAGCGGCGGCCGCGAAAAACAGGTACTAGGTTCACATTAAAGAGCTGTGAACATCTTACACAAGTTACGTTCAACACAGAGCATTCTCTGTGTGGTTCTATCATTGAAAAGAAATTCAAGCTTTTTTCCTCTTTTGCTCAGCCACTCAAAAAACAAAACAAATATATATATATATATATATATATATATATATATATATATATATATATATATATATATATATATATATATATATATATATAATAAAATAAAAGAATGACACTTTAGCGCTATTGTTAACATTAGACTAATTTATATAATTTGGTATCTGTTTTTATAGCCTAATTATGAAGTAAAAAGGACCGTTTTTAAATGGTACAATAACAGGCTAATTATAACCCACAACAATTTCAGTTATTATTAATATCTGTAGCAAATGTAAATGTTTTAATTTTATTTTAAATGGTGCACACATGACTAAATAATTTGTCAAAAAAATCACCTTTTTATCAACCCTTTTATTTATTATTTTTGTGTGCAAACATGAGTATTTATTTTATGGTCTTGTATAGTTAATTACTGGCCTATGCAGAAACAGATTTCTGCCTGATATTATTGTCACAAAAGTTGCACGTTGCTCCACACATTAAAAACATATTTAGCTTAATTTATATTTATTTTAAAATAATAATTTATAAATGTTGTTATGTGGACGCTACTAGTGTGCTTTCTGTTCCCTTGTTTGAGCCAGGCTGCAGCAGCAGGTCCTGTCAGGCGGCTCGGTCCGCTCTCTGGCGGATGACGACGGCACCGTGGACCGGCTGGGTCCTGCCTCCAGCCCGGAGGCCAGTCTGTCCAGTAAAGCAGCGGCCTCCGCCATCTCTATCACCTCCAGCGACAGCGAATGTGACATTTGAGCAACCGGCCCAGAACCCGGGTTTTGCGGGAGACTAGTGCCTCATACTAACGGGACCGAGCCAACCGGAGTAGACTGCCTGTTTTGACTGCCCACGTGGACCCAAACTGACTGCAGCCCTCGCGGACCACGAGCCACAGACAGTCAATGTAAAAAGGGAAAGGGGGCACGTGCGCCTCACCAGTGTCTCGTGCGTATTTCATGTTGAAAAAGAACATATTTTTACTTTCTTTTAAAGTTTTATAAATAACGTTTATTTGTCTATTTAAACGATGATCTGCTCTGTCATGGACTTGATCTTTGCTTGGTGTTTTTTAATACTAGCCAACCTTGTACAGGTGACCTGTGGAGCATGCGCGCTTTAGTCAAATGTGTTTGAGTCTAAGAAAAGATAACTTAATAAAGCATTGTTGAAGAGTGTCGGTCGCGAGTTTTGTTACGTGTGGAGCAGATCCTGTTGCCTATGTCGTGTTTGGTGGGGCTGCACCGCCGCGGTGATGCCGCACTGACACGTTGAACGCGGGCCTAATTGGCCGGCATCCTCTGCGTCTGTAATACGGACTGACAGCGAGAGGTCAGTGAGAGGCCGGCGCACTAACCCGGATGATTTGCGCACAGATCACACTCAGCAGCCTCAAATGGTGGAAATTAGTTAGCGGTCCCGCTACTAATCATACAGAAGCATACCGCTTTTCTACAACATACAAGCTCAAAGGCTACATGTTTGATTAATGGTGCCAAACGCGTTCCGTATCGCACTTTAAACGAGGGAGGTTTGAGTTCGCATTTGTTCTTGCATGTTTGCATAATAACGACTAAGGCACAAGTAAACGGATAAAGCCTTTTTTATTATTAAAATAACAACAAAATGCGTTATGCCTAATAGCCTACCACACATTTATGTCTACTGTTGCTCCCTAAAATAACTGCACCATTATATTTAGTGTTTGCATGTTTGCGTAAATCTGGGATTAACCCCTGTGTCCTTTTAACCCATGACTATCAGTCTGTCACTGAAAGTCAGGTTGTGGCACCTGCTCGAGTCTTTCCCAGCAGCAGCCTCCGTGTGATTGCCCTGTACTGACGTAAACATTAGGCACTAAATGAGCGAAGCATGAGACAAGGTTAAAGTCTAACTTTTGCAAGTATTGGGACACCTGATTTCATCCAATTTGTCGTCAATTAGGGCGCGTATCTGGAGGCGCACAAAACGTTTAGACCCAGCGGCACAAAGGCTAAATGTGTAGCCTGCTGGACAAGTGCATGGTCCTCTTTGAGTTGGGGAGGACAAAATGGCTGAATATTTCCGTTTCTATTGAGAACAAGGACGGCAGGGGACGAGAGTCAATAAGGTTGTCAAACTGGTCAGCGGTAATGAGCGCTAATGATGGGTCTGGGATCCCCGCGCGAACAAAGAGCCCCCTGCGCTGTTTTGTGCCGTGAAAGCCTGCTGTCAGCGTGTATAGGCGGAGGTCTGCGCCACGGAGACCCGGCTCATGTCATGCGCTCAGCCTCGGCCTATTAACAGCATTCATTACCGGACCATTGTCTTGTGCCGAGGCTCACAGGCGTATCGCACATGCCCCAGTAACTTCATAAATGCCAGTGTGCGCAGCATCAAACAGAGGCCGTAACAGTGTCATTCTGTTTTCCTCGCTTTCTTCAAAGCTGTTGATAACAGAGACATTCCGTTCATTACACAGGCGTGTTTTCCACATCGCCTTTGTCAAAAGAGTGCGCGGACAAAGAAGAAGTTAAGAGTTGTCAGATAAGTGCTGTTAGCATGTGTAAGCAGAACTCTTTAGTGGCTGATACGCGCTGAAGGGCGCAGTGTAGCCTTGACTATACATGGATCTGTCTCCATTGTGTCTGAATGCCTGCCTGAGTGCGTGGCTAGTTAGCTTTAGCACAAAGCATCCCCAAGACATATTCACTCCAGCGTTTCCTCTGCGCGTCAGAAATGGTGCCGTTCCAAATCTCCTAAGTGAAAGATAGGCCATCCATTTGGTCGAGCCGACTAGACATAAATAACAGCAATAAAGCAGAGCATGCAGACTATAGCTAAGAAGTTTTGTTTTATGGCCTCTGAATGAGTTGCGATATTCTGACATAAGATTATAAGATTTATTTCATAAGGAGGCAGGGAGACGAAAAAACAAACAAACAAAAAACCCCCACTAATTTTACACCATTGGCGTGGTCTCTTATCCATATGCCTTTACCTGCCTTTACAAAAACATTAAAATGAAAGATGCGTAATATTCAAATGTAGTTTTGTATATCCAGAAATGTTATTATTGTTTTATTAGTTTTATTTAATTTATATTGTCATCAGTAGAAATACTAGTAGTGTTTTTAATTGTTGTTTAATTATTGAAAGAAAAAAAAAAATAGATATGTAATTACTTTCTTAATATGTTTCGGCTGATAGCTGTGAGTCATCATCTCCAAATTTTGCTGAGAAATAATACCCCAGGGTTTAGGTGACCATGAACACAATAACAGAAAATTAGGCTACACGTTTATTTGCTATTTCGTGTTACTATTTCGACTGTAATCTTTTATTTCTAGACCGATCTGATTTAAGTGTTGTTTATGGAACTTTACGTGATTATCATTTTGTTTGTGTTTAATTACTCCATCCGTAAATCCTGGCCATAACTTCACACGGTGCTTCCCGTACTGTTGGGGCACTGTATTGGCAAAATTTGTGCCTCATTGAATTACTCGTTGATCCAAGGTAAAGCAAACTCTGGCCAATATTTGGATTTGAGCACTTGCAGTAAATACAATTTCAGAAAATAGCGTTTTTCTTTATTTTTTCTAAGGTTGTTCGTTGTGAAAAGGCCTCGGAATGATCCAGGTTACCAAAGTGCCTTCCCAAAGTGTTTCCCGGCCTTGGAAATGGGCCCGGGGCGAATTGAACGTTTTTGTGCGCACTTACACGTTTCACTATGCTTTTTCTGTAGGGTTTTCCTACACATTACTCGTAAAATTATAGCCTATACCGCTATCTTTTTATAGTGCTGCTGTAATTTGTCTCTGAAATCTTCAAACACCGCCATGACGAGGGGACGGGTAAGAGAGGACCCCTACTGGCGGTCGGTATACTTACTTTAATTAAATTCTGCATTAACTAGATTCATGTTAAAATGGGTTTAAAAGTTGTTGTCTTGTGATATAATAATAAACAAACAATCAGGTACAAATTGTATATGGATTATAGTCCCAGTTTCAAGTTGGTTGCCTGGATGGTTTCAGTTTCAGCACCATGGACAGTTCCAGCCCTGAACCCGCTCTCACTCGTTCTGAGCTAATGAGGTTGATGCCGATGCATTAGCAGTAAATGTAATCTGTGTTTGGCGGTAAAGGCTGCAGAGGTGAAAGGGTTGACTGACTTAAACTGGTGAAAATGGAGGAAGTGCCAATCTTATAGAATTATAGTTTTGAGCACAATTAGAAAGCAGTGACCAGACAATGTGCGCTCTGTCAGCTCCAAGTCTGGCTGAGTGTTATTATTACTCTTAGGAATTATTACCACGTCAAATTTAGTGTTGTAATTTCAGAGAGGTGATCCATTGCACGTTTATGTTTGTTATGATCATTGACACCAAGAAAGAAAACTTAAATTCCCTGTCATCCACACTGCTTAAAGGTAAATTTATTACATCAGACTTCCCCATTTCAGATTCTTTGTGAAATAAAAATGTAATTCTCAGTTTCTATTACTGGTTAATTATATTGGTGGTAGATTAAAATTCTGTTACAATTCATGTCATCAAAGGAAAATGTGTCCTTGGCATTTGACACATTCCCATGTTTTTGTGAAGATAGAATCTAATCTGTCCAAATGACATTATCAGGAACAATATGTTGATTCAGCCTGCAGAATGAAAGCACACAACGCACTGCAATATAAAAAATATTTATTCTACTTTACAAGTATTTTTTTTTTTATTCTGAAAACAAAAATGTTACTACACGACCCAACCCCATGGAGGAAAAATGTCCTTGTTTCACTACCAGCTATAGAACAGCTTACAATTCACATATACACTACTCCAAAAATACTTCACTGACAAAATAGTCAAGTCAAGTGCGATATTTTACAACATTTATGTTGTATGGCAATGTCGAAAGGGGAACAAAACACTTGCTGTGTCTTCCACCATGTTATTGCTACATCTTCCTGACTTATTATAGGAATTATCCCTCCTGACATGTTTACACGTAACCTATGGTGCCATCATATCTGTACCTTACTGTGACATTTAGATGGAAAATATAAAGAAGTTGCTGCCATATGCTTTTCCCCATTGATTGTGGAGGCAGCTCATGTCATGTATAGTAAATCTTGTATTTTATTCACACTTTTGACTTTTTACACAGATATAACTCTCATGCGCAAGTGTACCTTTTGACCCTCCTATGTCATAACACACACTAACTCCCCATGTCCTTTCAGCGACAGTATTGACTTGTCAAATGTATGCACTCACACTTATGAGAGCATTGATCTGTACGCATTCACTACAGACAAAAGGAGATGTTTTTCTGGCTGCTTCCTTAAGTATGTATAGGTAACTACAACAACCTTGACTGTCAATAGACTTCTTTGGCACAACGAAAAAGCTATAAAATTCCATCCCCCTTTCTTACGCCTATAGACATTCATATTTACTTCTGCCCATTGATCATATTTGACAACTAGTTTTCTAAATTTTACTTGTTACATTGAAAAGGCCCAAATTTCAGTTTTGTTTAGTTTTTTTGTTTCTTTGATCGAACAGCAGAGGTTTTTCTTCCAGAACCTGACGTCCTTTGTGCAGTTGGCGAGGTGTCCAATCATGGCATTGATCTTCTGCGCTCTGCTCACTGCACCTTTGTGGCTATTACCTTTAGTGTAGTGCAATTATATTTGTCCATCTCAAAGTCATCAGACAGTTCATCTCTCGTCAATACTCCAGCACAACTTTTCACCCAAATCTGTACGCGCCGTGC